AGTGCAAAGTAATTAGGTCACTAGGGTGCTGCCCTTGGAAGTTACCAACACTGTTCTGTTGGGTACCCAGTTAGTTTCCATTAAAATGTTGTTATAGGGGTTGGAGAGATGGCTCAGCAGTTAAGAATACTGGCTGTTCTTGCAGAGGACCTGGGTTCGGTAACCAGCATCCACATGGCAGTTCTCAAGTTCCAGGGGCTCCAACCCCCTCTTCTGACCTCCATGGACATTGCATGACACAGGTGGCCTTACATACATGCAGCCAATACACTCATACACATAAAATAAAAATTTTTTTAAATGTTGTTATAAAACAGCCAAGTGCTAAGGCTCATGGAACACAGAACAGGGTAAAGAGAACACCAACACACCCCTCAACTCTCACCAGCGAAGTTTCCTCATGCAACAGAATGCAATGCACGCAGACGGCCACAACTGGCCAGGTTTTAGAGAAGAAGAGGCTGCACAGTGCATGTCCGTGGATAGGACTCCATATTAAACCTCATCCACCCAGGATTCAGGGCCCATTGTGGAAGCGGGGGTCAGAAAGACTGTAAGAGCCAGTGTTGATGCATGAACATAAGGAAATAGAGGCTTTCAAGCCTCAGGGAACTTTCTCATCTGAACTTACAGCAATCAAGACCCATGCAGACTTAATCAGACAGAACCCTAGCATTGAACTGGGGAAATGGGCAGCAGGCCCCAACCTTAGCCAAGGAACTATTGGCAGTTGATCACTGCTCGGTGCAGGAGAGTTGGTTTTCTTTAATTGAGTGACTCTAGATAGGCTGACTTGACTCAAGTGAATGAACTCGCACTGAGGGACATCTAGTTACACAAAAGACCTTAACATATATGACAGAATGCATGAAATCCAGTGGGGGATTAATAGAAGGGTGCAGATGGGGGAGATGTATTGTATAAAATGCACAAAGAAATTCAATAAAAAAATACACTGAAAAAAATTTTTAATTATTTTTAGAAGGCCAAGTGTAGCCCCCTCCAACATGGCACAGAATGAAGGAGTCCAGAGACCTCAGTGAGTCTAAGACAAGTGGCTCAGCTGGGCGCAAAGCCAAGCCATGCCACCGTCCACCTACCCGATTTGGGCCAGCCTTCAAAATGAGGAACACCAATATTCAAGGGTCTAGGGTCTACGGTTTGAGGAGGTGGTAACTCAAGGCCAAAGGGGATGGTGTGGCAGGGGTTCAGTTTGTATTTTCTCACACATGGTAATACACCATCTGGTTCTAGAGCTTTTCCACACTCGAAGGCTCCCTTCCAGGTGGGATCCTGAGGGATCTCCAACTTTTCCACATCCTTTACAACAAAGCAGCCTCTCTCCTGCCAAGTCTTCTTCAGATCCACAGACCAGGTATTCCACGAGCCCTTCCTGTCCTGGTTAAATTCATTAGGCACCTTCTGTCTAAGCAGAAGTGGCTCCTGATAAGACGTGGTGGCAAAAATCTTGCCCCAGGACCCTCCTTCCAGGAGGACAATCTCAGCATCTTCAAGACCACTCTGTGCAGACAGCCCAACTTCTTCAAATTGAGTATGTGGCCTGCTCACCTGCAGGGCTTTCAACTAGTCATAATTTCCAGGAGCTTCTCTACCAAGTGGGATTGTCCCAATCATTGTGGGACAATCATAGCACACACTCAGTGTCTGGCTCACATGGATAAAAACGAGGCAAATTGTCTCTCGGTGCTGAGTTCCCAACTCACAGGTTCCTCAACCTCTGCCGGAGGGAACCAAAGATAAAGTCGGGGTTCTTACCATCTGCACATCACTAGACGGTGTGTCTTCCAAACCATCCTGCACAGAAGCCAGATCTTTGGGTTTGAGCTGAGCCCCTCCCCCCATCTAAAATGAATTAAGGAAAAATTAACTCGTCCAGAAACTCCTTTCCAATATATTCAGAAATATATGCACGGAAGGTTGTCACCAGGGACTCCTTGGATACCAAAAGCCAAAAGTGCTCAAATCCCTCATATATCATAGATATAGATTTCAGAAAAAAGCACAAAAATGAAGCTAACAGATGTTATGCTTTGAAAAAGGGACAGGCACGAAACTGAAGAGGCTAAACGATTGCCCCGCCGCCCCCCAAAAAATCCCGTCACCTAATTCATCTCGTCAATTTTTTAAGCAAATCTGACAAGTCATTCAAAGCAATCTGCACGAGACCCATACCCAACCGTCCAGCGGTAAGGCCAGACAACATTAAACCCTACACGATTACTAATGCAGATGTACTGCACAGGGGAATGCACTTTTCCCACGCATCCGCGTGTCGGAGCCTGCGGCAGCGTTGCTAAGCACGCAGCCCGGGCAGCCAGTTCGGCGCACCCAGGGCCCCCTGGCCCGCCCGGGCGGTCCTCGCCCTCCCTCCTGCCCTCCCGCCCTCCCGCGGGGCCGGTATGCACCTGCGAACGGGCCGCAGACACTCCCCGCACAGAGCACCGGTAGGCACTCAGGGAGGCCACTGCCCCCGGCCGGGCACTTCCGCTTCCAGGTCGGGGAGCGCTCGGGAGCGGAAGTGGCCGAGGCTCTGGCTCTAAAGTCCAGGGACACCTATGGCAGGGGCAGAGCGACTGAGCCTTTTTTTGTCTTTTTGAGGCAGGTTCTCCCTGTAGCCCCAGCTAGCCTGGAACTCTCCAGGAAAACCAGGCTGGCCTCGAACTCACACATCCCCACAGATCTGCCTCTGGGATGTGCTGGGAGTGCCGGGACTAAAGGCGTGCGCCACCAACCCAGCCGACCAGGCCTTTCTTTAGCCAGCCTAGGAGGAGAAATTTTAGATTCCTTCCGAGCACTTGGAAGCCGGCGCCAAAGTAGCCTCCCTGAAGGCCTGGAGAGTCAGCTGGAGGCGGGGCCTCTACCGAGGGGTGGGGCTTACGCTTGACGGACAGGGATGTGGCCAGGCTGCGCGGGGTGGGTGGGGCGAGGGTTCTAGGTTCGTGGGATGGGCGAGTTGGGCAGAGTCAGAGCTGAGGGTTTGCGTGAGTGAGCAGGGGAGGGCTGAGTGTGTCTGGGCTTGAAGAGTGGGCAGGCTTTTGGAGTGGGCGGTGACTAGGGCAGGCCTATCTGGCTGGCTCTTCAGTAATTTTCCCGAGCCTCCGCCCTTCCCATCCACTTACACTTTGATCCACTGACATTAATTCAATGCCTACGTACCCCTAAGTTTTCCCCAGACTTCCTAATTTGTGTGTTAATATTTTTATTTTTTATGTTTATAAGTGTCTTGCCAGCATTGTCCATAAGTGGATCTGTGTCATGCAATGCAGGCGGAGATCAGAAGAGGGGTAGGATCTCCTGGAACTAAAGACGGTTGGGCACCGAACCTCAAAGAGCAGCCAATGCCCTTAACCGCTGAACCATCTCTCCAGCCCCCACTAATTTATATTTTCAAGAATACATATTTGTTTCATGTAGAGCTTGCTTTTCTCACAGAAATAAGATGTGCGGAACTTTCCAAAACAGTATACAGGCAATCTGGTCTTTTATTCTGTGTATTTGTTTTGCAAATATACAGGAAAAGTTAGCACACGGATGCTTTACTCTTGGGATGCTTTACAGTGACCCTAAATTTTCCTCCCTAGAAACACCCATTGTCACCAGTATACTGATATATAGAGATACACAGATTTATTTTTTCCTCTCTTTTAAGACAAAGCCTTACTATGTTGCTCTGGCTGGCCTGGATCTCACAGAGGTCCACCTGCCTCTGCCTCCAGAATGCTGGGACTAAAGTTGTACACACTTCAAACAACCTGATAGTCTTTATACATCAAGTGTATATTGTTTCTTTCAACAAATAAATATGGTTTGATTACTGCATGTGTTGTAGAGAAGAGAGAATGGAAATGTAAGCTGCTGTGGCCATTATGGAAAACCACATAGGGGTTCCTCAAATATTTAGGACTATCACATAACTTAAAATTCTCACTTCTAGGTGGGTGGAAATAAAATCAATATGAAGAGATGCCTGCACTCCTGTATTTGTTGCAGCATCATTCACAGTAACCAAGACGTGGAAATAACACAAATGCCTGCCAACAGAAAAATGGTAAGGAAAATGTGAGCTATGTAGACATGCAGCCTTTAAAAAGAAGGAACTGGGGCTATACAAATAGCTCAGTCAGAAAAGTGCACCATAGGAACCTGAGCGCAGTCCCCAGAATGACAGGAAGCTGGGTATGATAGTGCAGCCTGTAATCCTAGAGCTAGGGAGGCAGAAACAGAAGGATCCCTGGGGCTCACTGGCTAGCCAGTTTACTTTAATTGATGCGCTCCAAGCCAGTGAGAGACCCTGTGTCAAAAGAGGTGGAGAGTGTTCCTGAGGGTGACTGATTGCCTTCTGGCCTCCATGCACACATGCATGTTGTATGATAGCTGCATATACATATGAATAAATAAAAAAAATAACTGGGCCTGGTATCTCACACTTGTAATCTCAGCTACTTGGGATGCTGAGGCAGGAAGACTACAGGTTAAAAGGCCAGCCTGGGCAACATAACCAGCGTTGATCTAAAAAAAAAAAGGAGAGGGGGGATTCTGTCATTTATGATGAGTCGTGAGGACATGCTAAGTGAAATAAGCCAGACACAGGAAGACAAAATACTGAATGATTTTACTTATAAGTGGAATCTGAACTATACTGATTGAAGAGGGTAGAATGATAGTTACTAGTGCCTGGAGGGAGAGGGAAGTAGGGAGATGTGTAAAGGGTGTAAAGGTCCATTTATGTGGACTGCATGAGTTCTGAGATGGAATGTATGTCATGATGACAGCTAACAATAGTGTATTGGATACTGTATTTGAGGTTTACTAAGAGTAGATCCTAAGTGTTCTCTCCACTTGAAAAATGATAAGAATGTGAGGTGCTGGATATGTTCCTTAGCATCATTATGGTATATTAAACCATCAAGTTATACAACTTACATATACACAGGTGCTATACCTCAATAAACTGATGTGGCAAAAGAGTAAATGGACTGGCAAGATTAACCCCAACTTAAAGGTGAGAAATGTTGAGTAAAATGAATCAACCTGACATGGAGGCCCCAAACCCTAAAGCAGCGTGTTTTGAACACTGATGGCTATATGCATGTATGGATTGGAGAAAGAGTGGATGGACAGATGGAGTGGATGGATGCATGTGTACATGGATGATGTGATGGCTGGTTTTAAATGTCAACTTGCCACAACTTAGAACCATGTAGGAAGACAGTCTCAATTGAAGAATTGCCTAGCTCCACTATTTCATGGACTGGGTCCTGAACTATGTAAGATTGAAGAAAGCTAGCTGAGTATAAGCAGCATCAAGCAGATGGCATGGCACATTTTGTCTTTCTGATCTTGACTGTGGATGTGATATGACTAGCTGCCTGACCTCCCTGAAATAATTGCCTGTGACTTGGAATTGTAAGCCATATAAAATGAACCCTTTCCTCTCTCTGCAGCTTTTTGGTCAAGATGTTTTATCACAGGAACAGAAATGAAACTAGAACGGATGGATGGATGGATGGATGGATGGATGGATGGATGGATGGATGGATGGATGGATGGATGGACGGATGGATGGACAGAAGGATGGATGGATGGATGGACATAGAAATGGGTATATGGATGCCTGGATTTGCAGGTGTGTGCAAGAACAGATGCCTACATGCATGCATTGATAAATATGAGATTTTTTTATATGAAAAGACTCCCTTTTTCATGCACTTGCCACTAAGCTTACTAACTTAGTATCTTTGGACCTGAATGTTCTGATATAATAATAATAATAAAATAATAATGAATTTAAAGTAACATAAAACTAACTAGTTAATAGTCCTGTAACACTTGTCTCAACTCCTCATATCCTAAAATTTTAGATCTTCTTCCATGCCTATTTCCTAAACCCAGCATTCAAATCTACTTCAGTTTCTTATTTCTTGATTTTACCAGAAGGTGGCAGTATGGTATAAAGACTAAGCTCTGTTTAGCCAGGAGAAAAAACTGTGGAGAGGGTTTTTACTAAGCATGCACTCACCTTTGTATTTTTAATTGACACTTGTATGTGTTATGTATTATAGTGTGGTAATTTGATACATGGATCTAAAGTGTAATGATCTAATCATGGTAATTACAATCTCTAACTTCTCAAACATTTATCTTTGGACTGTTTTATTTTTTAATATATAATAGATTCTTGTAGAAATAAGTTTTAAAGATCTCCTTCATAACCAGGAGTCTATAGTTAAGGTATTATGTATTCAATTTTGCTTTTAAAACAGGTTTTAATTGTCTCAGTTGTTTTTTTAAAAAAGATGTGTTAATTAGCTTGATCATTCTACAATGTGTGCACATATATCAAAACATCTCATTGAGGGGCTGGAGAGATGGCTCGGCAAATAAGAGCACTGGCTGCTCTTGCAGAGGACCCGGGTTCAGTTCCTAGTACCCACATAATGGCTAACTGTAACTCCAGTTCCAAAGTATCTGACGCCCTCTTCTGGTCTCAGTAGGCATTGCACAACATGAGTGCATTTACATACATGCAAACAAAACACTCATACATAATAAACTGTATTCATCCAACTCTCATTGTCACCTAATAAATGATGTGCCTCCAGCCCTGTGTCTTGCAACAAATCATGTACATCCCAACACTGAACTCCGAAAAAGCATCCTGTGGCCAGTGAGATGGCTCTGCAGGTAAGGGTGCTTGCCACCAAGCCTGACTGCCTGAGTTTGATCCCCAGGAGCCACATGGTGGAGGCAGAGAACCAAATCCCCAAGGCTGTCCTCTGATCTCCACAGGACCACTGTGGCAGGTACACACCCACACACATATATGGACACGCACATACACAGGATAGAGACACATAATAAATGTATTTTTTATTTTAATTTTTATCATTTTTATTTTATGTGAATGCATGTATGGCCTGCATGTATGTAAGTGCACCCATGTCACGCAATGCCCACGGAGACTGTTGGATCCCCCGGGGACTGGAGTTACAGACAGTTGTTAGCTGCCATGTGGGTGCTGGGATTCAAACCCGGGTCTTCTGCAAGAACAACCAGTGTTCTTAACCACTGAGCCATCTCTCCAGCCCCAATAAATGCAATTTTTAAAACTGTGTCCTACCTCACTCCCTCAGTACATCAGGTGTCACGTCAGATGGCCCCTTGTCTGGCCTGGCTGTATACCCAAAGGAATCAAAGTCAAAACACAGAAATGCCTACATAGCTGTGTTTATTGCAGCTCTATTCACATTAGCCAAGCTATAGAAATAGGTGAATAGATAAATATGTAGCATAGATACTCAACTGAGCTTTAGTCAGCCATAAAAAAATAAAATGTGACTTCCTGGAAAACAGATAGAACTGGAGGTCACCACATTAAATGACATAAGCCAGGCTCAGAAAGACAAGTATCACATTTTCTCTCATGTCAAATCTAAAAGAAACGAGTATGAAATCAGAAAAGGAATTACTAGGGAAAGTGAACAGGGTCAGTGGAGATAAGCATGGGTAGTAGAGGATATAAACATAAAGACAGCACATACACACATGAGCCTGTCATAATGCTGCCTGTCGTTGTCTTGTACAATGAATGTACACTAATAAAAGGAATCACGTATACCACCTCTCACCTCGTCCTGTGGTTTGAATGAGAAATGTCAACCACCACCACCCTTTGTTGTCGTTGTTGTTGTTGTTGTTGTTAAGATTCCATTCTTAAATGAGTTGTGGTGGTACAAGTCTGTGATCCCAGCACCGGGAGGCACCCAGCACTGGGAGGCACCCAGCACCGGGAGGCAGGAGGCTCATGAATTCAAGGGCCTGGTCTACAGAACAAGACCCTGTCTCAGAAAAGCCCTAGAACTCAGGCTGTGGTCTCCTCTCTCTGCCCAGGGTTCTGTTTCCAAGCACACCATAGCTGTTCCTTTCCCAGAATAACCAGCTGATACCATTGCTGCAAGGCCAGGGCCCTCAAGGACACTCAAGGTTATAGACAATCCCTTAGGAAGGACAATGAAAGCAACCACTGGAGGCCCTGAGAAAATCTAACTGTGCCACTTACCCACTAAAGAAAGTGGACAAGGCACTGGGCCCTTGAGGCCTGTTTTCTGCTTGTAAGATGGGACAGGAATTATTCTAAGCTCACAAAATCATGGTGAAGATCGAGTCAGTGTTGGCCAAGCATGCCAGCACACACTTGTCATCCCAGCATACAGAAGGAGGAAGCAGGAGGGTCACAAGTTCAAGGCCAGCCTGGGCTACATAGTGAGACCCTGTCTCAAAACAAATAAAAAGGAATAAAGTTGGGAGGGAACCAGGTTGGGGGAAAATGGGGGATGGATATGTTTCATTGTATACCTGTGTGAACTTCTCAAAAATAAAGGAAAATTAATACTAAAAACAACGCCAGTGAATCACTGTATGTGTGTATGTATGTGTACAGCACATAATACATGCTTTATAAACCATGGCTCATATTATTTTTATCTACTTAAATCATCCAACCTGAAACCAGGCGTGGTGGTGCACGCCTTTAATCCCAGCACTCAGGAGGCAGAGGCAGGAGGATCTCTGTGAGTTCCAGGCCAGCTGAGGTTACAGGGAGACCCTGTATCAAAAAAAAGACCAAAAGAAGTAATCATCTAACCTGGCCTCCAGCTCTCACGTACACCTTTCTGTCTTGAGTTGAACAATTGTACAAGTTGTAGAAAGCAGACAGGCCTGGCTGGCACCAACCCCCACTGTGACCCTGTTGTGACCCACAGATGTGGCCTCAACCACAGCGTCACTTCTCAACACACACACTGCAGGAAACCCATTTTCCTTTTCTAGATGTGGGAACTTCCCCTGAGCCTAAGTAAACAGTCACTCGACCAAGGTCCCCTGGGTGAAGTCTCAGAGCATGACAGTGGGCGGGTTGTGGCCTGGGTGAGAGAATGGCTCAGGCAGTGACGGGTGAGTGGGTGCCAGGTGTTAAAGTGGGAGGAAATAAGAACAGAGGAGACAGGAAGTGGAGTGTGCCCAACCGCCCCCACTGTTCTGCTGCTCTGAGAGCTTCTGTAACAGGAAAGATTCCGCTATTCATTAACAGCACTTGCTGAAGGCTAGGGAGATGGCTCAGCTGGTAAGGTGACTGCCACACAAGCACGAGGACCTGAGTTCAGAGCCCCTGGAACCCATCATTAAAAGCTGGACTCTATGGTGCACACTTGTAATCTCAGTGCTGGGGAGACAGGAGCAAGCGGTCTAGCTGATCATTGGGCCCCAGGCCAGTGGGAGAGCCTATCTCCAAAACCAAGGTGAAGAGCGAGGAAGAACAGCAGGTTGTCCTCTGGTCTTCATATTCACACACATGTGCACATGCACACACACACCAAAAAAAAACATGATTATTAAAGAACACTGCTGATCAATAAATTAGTCCAGAGGAGAACACATCTACCTACCCTTAAACACTAGTGATTATCCAAAGATGTTATTGTGCTTAGCTGAGACAGTATCAACCCTTGGATGGTGTTTTTGGGTTTCACAATGAAACAAAGGGCACCTCCAGAATTTAGTGGGTATTATGGGGTAAGTTTTATCCCCCAAAAGTACTTTTGCTAAAGTCCCAACCCTTAGCATTTTAGAATGTGACTATATTTAGAGACTGGGTTTTCTTTTAAGGCAATGATGAAGCCAAGTTCCCTGGGATGGGATGCAATGTGACTGGTGTCCTTAAGAGAAGAGGACACTAGGACCGAAACGCACAGTAGGAAGACACGTGAAGACACAGCAAGGGGAAGACAAGCGTCTACACTCCTCCAGAGAAAGCCACCCTGCTGACACCCTGAGCTCATCCAGGGAACTGTGAACAGATAAATTTCTGAGCCAAACGGCACATGCCTGTCATCTCAGTATTTCAGAGGCTGACGTAGGAGGATTGCAAGATCAAGACCAGCTTGGGCTACATAGTGGAACTCTGTCACAATAAAGCAGACAGCTGGGAAGATGACTTGGTGAGTAAAGTGCTTGTCTCACAGTTAGGCGTGATCTCACATGCCTTTAGACCCAGCACTCTGGGGGCAGAGGCAGGCAGACTGTGAGATGGCGGCCAGCTGGGTCTATATAGCAAGTTTCAAAGCAGCTGAAGCTACAGTGAGATCAAGGCCCAGCCTGGTCTACATAGCAAGTTGCTGGCCAACTGAGACTACAGGGAGGCCCTGTCTCAAAGAAAAAAAAAGGAAAAGAAAGTGCTTGCCTTGCAAGAGTGAGGACCTGAGTTTGAATCCCCAGAACACACACAAAGCTAGATGGGAGGCCACATCTCTGCAACTCTAGTGTGTCCAATACCAGATGGGAGGCAAAGACAGGAGAATCACCGGAGGCTGTGGGCCAGCTAGCCTAGTGCAGCAGTAAACAAGAGACCCTGTCTCAAACCATGTGAAATGCAGGGACAGAGACCCAAGGTTGCCCACTGACATGCCCACATATAGCACAGCATATATGTGCCTATACTCACACACACACACACACACACACACACACACACACTACACATACATCATACATCTCATGTAGACACCCAAAAAAAGAAAACAAAAATAAATGCCTGTTGCTTAAGCTGCCCTGGTTAGGTTGCATGCTTACAGTAATCCTACAAACTAGCATGGTGGACCTGAGTCACACGTGAAGTCACTGTGACAGCACAGTGAAGCCTGGCTACATTATGTGGGAGGTCTTGCTTGCCTGTATGTTGGAACTTTCAAGTTCCACAGGCCAGGTCTTGGCAAAAAGATCTGAGTCTGCCTCCTAGCTTGTTACTGATTCTGTCCCAACCTCTTCCTGGGATTTGATCAATACCATCTTGACAGTCAGAGAACTTGTATTTTTATTTTTCTTGTGGCCATGACAAAATACCTCACAAATGGAACTTAAAGGGTTTATTTTGGTGCACAGCTCCAGGGCAGTCTGTCATGATGGGGGAAGGCACAGTGGCAGGAGTGGCAGGCAATCCACAGTCATGTGCAGTCCACAGTCAGGAGGTGGTCAAAGAATAGTGCTGCTCAGTTCTCCTTTTCAGTCAGTCCGGGAGCGCCCTCCCCCAGAACAGCACGGCCCACATTTGAGGGCTGTAGGGGTGGTGTCTTCCCACCTCAATTAAACTATAGCAAATTTTTCACAGACATGCCAGAGGCTTCTCTCTTCAATGATTCTGGAGCCTGTCAAGTTGACAGTATCAACCATCACCTATCTGATCAGGGTTCAGAGAGGCCAGGGCATTTCATCCTGGGTCGATGTTTGACTCAGTGCCCAGCAGGGCCAGTCTCACTTTCCAAGAGTAGTGACTGCTACCTTCTCAAGTGTTCTGCCCTCTCCAAAAGCCCCACCTCCTTCTGAGTCGCCTTCCTGCTCAACCAATAGGCAGGCTTGCAGCTTGCCTAGTGACTGACTGTGCTTCCCACACATTCATATGAGTTCTGAAAAGGCCAAGTCCAGGGAAGAAGACAGGAGAGTGAGGCCTGAGCAGACCCAGCCTTGCTCCCAGTCAGCAGGAACACTGCCGCTCACAAATCCAATACGTAGTTTTGGAGCAAGAGAGGTCATTCCAGGTGCCTCCCCTGTTCATGCTGGCACAATCCTCATTGTTGCTATTGTTAGGCTCATGTGGGTCCCAGAAGCTGGATGGAAGAGGAAAGGAAGAGTGGGCAGAAGAGGTAAGTGAGGCGATCACGGAGGTGATGGTGGTGAAACTTCTGTAACAGACAAACAAGCCACGCACATGTGCCCAAACCCACACTTGGCCAGGTGGGGTGGCACAGGCGTGTGATCTCAGCACTCAGAAGGCTGAGGCAGGAGGATCACCTGTTTCAAGCCAGTGTGGGACATACAGCAAGACCCTGTATCAGCCAGTGAGATGGCTCAGCACTAAAAACACTCCTCTGATGACCTGAGTTTGATTCCCAGAACCCACGAAAGGTGGCAGGAGAGATCCAACTCCACAAAGTTATCTTCTGACCTCCACACACATGCCTGCCATAGCATGTGTGTGCCCACACTCACTTGCATGCATCATACACAAATAATTAATAATAATAATAATAATAATAATAATAAAATCGAGCTGGCCATATGGCTCAGCAAATAAAGACAATCCTGTAGTTGCCCTCCAACATCCACACTGTGGCATGACCCCTCACACACACACAATAATAAATACATGTAATAAACAGTTTAAAAGACAGAACACTGGCCACATCAACCAACTACCAACACTGGTGAGAATTCAGGGAAAGAGGAACCCTCATACACTGCTGGTAGGAGTGTAAACTGGTGCCGCCACTGTGGAAATCAGCATGCAGGCTTCTCAAAAAAAAAAAAAAAAAAAAAAAAAGTCCTCAGACTAGAACTGCTATACAAGCCAGCTATAACTACTCACTGCCGGGCACACACCTGAAGGACTAGAGTCAGCAAGCAAAGACCCGCACAGCCTTGTTTACTGCTGCACTCACTAGTCACTAAAATAAGGGACCCGCCCAGATGTCCACCAACAAGTGAACAGACTTTTTAATGCAGCTCACAAATATAATGCAATTTCATTCAGCAGTAAAGAAAAATGAAAATTTTGAGAACCTATCTCAAAAAAATTTATTGATCCTTTAATCACGTTCCTATCACCTGCACCAGGCCCACAGAGGAGACAGGCAGACCCCAGGACACTTGCCTTAATGTGACAGGAGACCCATCCAGCCATCTCCAGTCTCCTTCTTGATTCTTGTCACTCAGCCCCAGCCAATATACCCTCGGAGAACCATGAGCCTTGGCCACAAAACTCTGCAAGTACAAATTCTATTCAACCATCATCAGTTCTTCTACACAATGCCATGGTGAGGGGGTCCCTCACACTAAGCCACATACTTAGGGTATGAGCTTGTTCCTGTATTGATTCTTGTCCCCATGGCATACAGAGTAATAGCAGTACCTTCCCCCCACTGTAGCATATGGGCTGAGAATAAACATACAACCATCTCATGCTACCGGTGGCCCTCTCTGCTGTTTGGATGTGGTTTGTCCCCATCCCCAGTATAGCAGAACCAACACATGGGAACGTTTGACAGGTAGAGCCCAGTGCCCGGTGTCTGCTGGTCTCAAGGACTTACTTAGTTCCAGCAAGAATGGGTTGTTATAAAAAGAGCCAAGCATGGGCCTGGGGAGATGATTCCTTGGATAAAGTGCTTGCTGCACAAGCATGAGGACCTGAGTTCAGATTTCCAAGCATGCACATGAAAGCCAAGTGTGACGGCATGTGCCTGTAATCTCAGTGCTTGGGAGGCAGAAACAAGCAGATCCTGGGGTTCAGTGGCCTGCCAGCCTACCTGAAATGGCAGGCTTCACATTCAGTGAGAGACCCCATCTCAAAAAAAATAAGGTGGGCCGGGCGTGGTGCCGCACGCCTTTAATCCCAGCACTTGGGAGGCAGAGGCAGGTGGCGCCCCTCCTTGGTCTCTGGCTTCCTGTTTTCCCACACCATCTTTCCTGCTCACAATCTTACAAAGATGCCACCTTTCAGGTTGAGCTAGCCCTCCAAAACTGTTTGAAGTTTCAGCCTCCAAACTGTGGGCTAAAGAAACCTCTTTTCTTTATAAAATAACCAACTTCAGGTATTTTGCTACAGTAACTGACAATGGACAAATACATATCCTGAGTCTTGATTTCCTCATTTGTAAATGGGATGATAACAGTAGCTACCTCTTCACAAGGTGAATATAAAAGGATTACTGAATTCATAAACTTCAAGCACTCAACTGGGATATCTTAACATTTAACATTTGAGCAACACTTTTAACAATAGTAACTGATCTTTTCCTTTTCATAAGATTTTTTTAACTATGCGAGAGATTTTTGAGTCAGGATCTCACTCTGTAGCTCTGGCTGTCCTGGAACTTGCTATGTAGATCAGGCTAGCCTTGAACTCACAGAGATCTGCCTGCCTCTGCTTCCTGTATGCTGAGATTAAAGGTGTGTGACACTATACCTGGCTATTTTAAATTGTGGAGTGGGAGGGTGGTATAAGTGTAAGTGCAGTGCTCACAAAGGCCAGGGAGCATCAGATCTCCTGGAACTGGAGTTACAGGCATTTATGAGCCCTTCCGGTAGGAACAGGACTCAGATCCTCTGGAAGAGCAGCAAACACTGTTAACCACTGAACCATTTCTCTAGTCCAATGTGTTTCTTTTTGTTTCCCTGTTATTTTTTAGCTACTTTGTAACTCTAGTCTACAGCCCAAGGGATTCATGAAGGAAAAAGCAAGGAAGGGCTGGAGAGATGGCTCAGTGGCTAAGAGTGCTTACTGCTGTTGAAGAGGACCTAGGTTTGGCTTCCTGTAACTCCAGTTCCAGGGAATCCAGTGACCCCCTCTTTTGGCCTCCATGAGTACTGCATGCATGTAGTGCTCCTCCATACATGCAGGTAAAACACTCATTCATATATATATATATAATTTTTAACATATATGTAAATAATAATAATAAAATATTTTTTTAAAAGAAAAAAGAAGGAAGGCTGGGTTGTTCAGTGAGTAAAATACTTGCCACTCAAGAATGAGGACCTGAGTTCGGCCCCAAAAGCCCACATAAAAAAAACAACAACAAAAAGCCGGGCAGGGTGGCATGTGATAGAGCTCCTGCCTAGAATCCTCCAGTGAGAGACTGGGGTAGAGCACCTGCCTAGCATATGTGAGACCCTACGTCCATCCTCAGTACCACAAATAATAATAATAATAATAATAATAATATATTTATGGTCAAAATCTTAGACTTTGAAATTAGCTACCTAGGCTCAAATCCTAGCTCAGATACTAATTTTGAGTGAACACAAACAAGTTATTTACAGGTACTGTGCCTCGGTTTCCCCATCAGCAAGGTGTAACTGATATGTGGGAATGGCAACAGGACCTAACTTCAGTAGTACTGGGTCACTGGCATTGTTTACAGATATCTCAATTCACCTTCTGGAGACATACAACTGACACCTTATTTCCCAACTGCCTAACAGAGTCTCCAAAACTAAGTACACATGAAAATGTAATAGGAATCCAGTCACTTTGTAAGGTAATTTAAAAATAATAGGGCTGAAGGATGACTCGGCAGGTACTCGTGCTTGCCACCAAACCTGATGACCTGAGTTTGATTCGTGGGACCCACACGGAAGAAAGAGAACTGACTCCTGCAATTTGTCCTCTAACCTCTCTATACATGCCCTGTGGAATGTACACACATACACACATACACACACACACACACACACACATACATAAATTTAATTTAAAAATAAACAAGAAGCCAGGAACTTTACATGACTACTTCAGGAGTACAGGTGAAAACTTTGAGCTACAGTACCTCATTTGCCTAGAGACTCTTTATTACTGCAACATAAACAATCTTCCTGACTGATACACTCATTTATAGAGCTCTGACGATCATATATGTTAATGAATGTAAGATGGTTCAAAATTCAGTCTGGGAAATAAAAACAGCTTAAGAGACAGTTATCATACTGTTTGCACGATAGATATAAAACTGAGATGCATCAAGGTCCATTAAATACAATCAGGATTTGAACTCCAGCCCAGTGTACCCTCCTCACTTCTGCATCATACTATCTCAGTAAGATTCAGCTACTAGAGTTTTAGTGGTTCAAAAAAGTAAGTCCAGTTTTCTCTCCACCTAGAGAAGAAAAGGATGTGTGAATTCTAGAAGCTCTCAGGAGCTACTGGGGACAACTTACATGCTCAGCGAAGCTATTGATGATGACCAAGTGAGAATAACTCTCCTGGCAGAACTTCCGGGCTTCATCCCATGACTTGGTGCTTGGGGAGAAATAGTAGCATTTGCCCTCAAAAGGGATCCAGCCATCAGGACAGATGGACCGAGAAGGGTCTAGAGACAATACAGGATGCTGTCATATGGTCTTGGAGTTAGGGCCATGTGCATATTATGCTATGTGTGGTTGTGCAGGCTATGTACTGCTTAACTAGAGGAGGCATCATTTACACAGGCTTTACTGAAAATCACTCTCATAGAGTGGTACGACATGCTGATTCTTCTATGTTCCCCATCTCTGAGAAATTCCTCAAGTCATACTCACCTAATAAGCTCCAAAGTTCCACCAGGGATTGGTTAGTGTAAGCTCTTACATGGTCAATGTCCTTCTTGAGGCCAGCTAGCGCCACCATGCCAGTCACTGTGGAAAGGGCCTGTGGGTTAGAGACCCAGGACCACATTCACCCACCCACCTCATCTACAGCCTACAGGCACATCCCAAGAAAGTGAGTCCATTCCCACCCAGGCCTATGGTACGGATCTGCAAACCGTGCTCTCAGGAGGCTAAGACAGGAAAATCAAGAGTTCAAGCCTGGGCTACATAGCAAGTTCAAGGACAGCCTAGGCAGTTTATTCAGAGTCTGTCTCAGAATTAAAAGTTGAAAAAACAAAATCAAAGGGAAAAAAACGTGCCTGGCATGGTAGTGCACACCTTTAATCCCAGCACTTGGAGGACAGAGGCAGGTGAATCTCGTGAGTTCAAGGCCAGCCTGGTCTACATAGTGAGTTCCAGGGTAACTGGGGCTACAGGGAGACCCTGTCTCAAAAAGACCAAAAAAAAAAAAAAGAAAAATCAGGGCAGGAGGAAGTTGGGAGATGTAGTGCAATGGAAGAGTACTTGCCTAGCGTGCCCAAGGCTCAGACTCAGTCCTCAGCGCCACACACAGAATTTAAATCACACTCCCACTGCGTCCAACTTCTAGTGGGACATGTGGAATTCAGAAGCCATGGCTCAGTGCTCAGAGATCATCAAGTAGCCCAGAGACCAGGTCTTGGTGGTCTGGGACAGCTGGACGTGGTGGCCTTCTGAGGGTAAATTTCGAGGAGGAGGGTGATTCAGTGATTGCCAGTGTAGGATGCAGAGCAGAGGCAGCAGCACCCTTTACCCTGGAGCCCACACATCAGCACTGAATTTTATACTCACTGGGGATAAGTGACTAGCAGCTGTCTATAGCAGTGCTTCTAATAGAAGTGTGAGTCTATAGCAGTACTTCTAATAGAAGTGTAATGTGATGGCTAGGGCCACAGCTGGGGGCTAGAGCTCTTGCCTAACATGCAGGGCACAGGTTCAATCTCTAGCATGAAGGGGGGGGGGGAGAGAGAGAGAGAGAGAGAGAGAGAGAGAGAGAGAGAGAGAGGGTAGGAGCAGGAGCTGGGGAGATGGCTCAGCCAGTAAGAGCTCACTATACAAGCACAGGACCTGAGCTGAGTTTGGTTCCCAAGAACCCCTTAAAAGGATGGTGTAGTGTGCACTTGTAGTCTCAGCTCTGGGGAGGCAGAGACAGGCAGATACCTGGGGCTCCCTGGCCAGCCAGCCTAGTGTAGTTGGCAAAATCCAAGCAAGTAAGAAACACTGTCTCACCAGGCATGGTGGTACACACCTTCAATCCCAGCACTTGGGAGGCAGAGGCACATGGATCTTTGTGAGTTCAAGGCTAGCTTGGTCTACATAGTAAGTGCCAGGCCAGCTGGGTCTACAGGAAAACCCTGTCTAAAAAAGACGGAAGGAAGGAAGGAAGGAAGGAAGGAAGGAAGGAAGGAAGGAAGGAAGGAAGGAAGGAAGGAAGGAAAGACTGTCTCAAAAAACAAGGTGAACGGGGCCTGAGAAACAACTCCTGAGGGTGACCTCTAGCCTCCATATGCGTGCACACACATATGTACATCTAAGTACACATTAACACACACACAAAGAGATTCAATATTGATCAATTTTGTAATTTCAAAAAAAGGGGGGTCTCACTGTATAGCCCTGGGTGGCCTGGAACTCACTATGTAGACCAGGCTGGCCTCAAACTCACAGAGATCCCCCTACATCTGCTCCCTGAGTGCTGGGATTAAAGGCGTGCACCACCACACCCAGTCAAGCCATATTTTTGGTCCTGTAAAATGTGATGCCATCAGGGCTAGGTTGTAGAGGGTTAAAGGAAGGGATTATTTTTTGCTACTGATTTAAAAAATAAAAAGACAGGAAAATCAAGGTCTCCGGTCACAGCCAGACTTTATTGGAAGCAGAAGCACACACAAAAAAGACACAGAGACCAACTTCCAAGGCACAGAGGGGATCCAGAGCTGGTGTGTGCATCTGTTCAAAAGGTTGGGTGTTCACAGACTTGGGATGGGGCCAGTTCCCTTTCTCCCTTGGAATTGGCTAGTTTGGCTTATCAAGGGGGAATGGATAATCCAGACAAAGAAAGGGAAACTGATTGGCTCCTGCCACAACCCTTCTCCCCACCCCTTCAAAGATTTGAAAGTCTCCCCCTAACAGTTCCCTCTGAAGGAGGGCAAAAAAAGTCCACTAAGTCTCTGTCTTGGAGACAGAGAAGAAGCAGAACTTTGGCCATCTTAGATGTTTAAGTGTCTGTCTGCCTGTCAGGGACCTATCACCTGGTCCCTCAATATTTTATCAATTTTAAAATATATTTCTGTGAATTGGTGTGCCGAGCATGGTGGCCCAGAAGGAGCTTGATTACTCACGACACTGAGCATCAACTCAGGTTTCATTTCATAGATTCCTATGAAGGCTATGAAGTGTCTTATCTTTTTACTTCTTTTGCAGTATTGGGTATAGAACCCAAGGCCTTGCTCAAGCTAAGTAAATGCTCCCCCACTAAAAGCAATCCCAATTTGAAGTCAAGAGACAAGCCAGTATAATGGTACAGGCCTTTAACCCCAGCACTCAGGAAGCAGAGAGGCAAGTGGATCTCTGTGAGTTTAAGGCCAGCCTGGTGACTTCCAGGCCAGCCAGGGCTATATAGTCAGGCCCTGTCTTTAAAAAAACAACAGCAACAAGAGACACAGGTAAAATGAACTTGATGACTGGGGCTATAGCTCAATGACACAGCACTTGTTTGGCATGCATGAGGCCCTGGGTTCCATCCCAACACCACAAAAATAATGATATAATAGTAAAGACTAGCCAGGCATGGTGGCACACACCTTTAATCCCAGCACTCAAGAGGCAG